AGAGAGAGAGAGAGAGAGAGAGAGAGAGAGAGAGAGAGAGCAGTTGATAGTTGATAGAGAAAGAGAGCGGTTGATAGAGAGAGATGGATACATCGAGATGGACAGATAGATAGATAGATAGATAGATAGATAGATAGATAGATAGATGGATAGATGGATAGATAGAGCGACACGTGTACCAAGGGAACGAGAGACTATCTGTCTGTTTATCTATCTGTCTATCTATCTGTCTGTCTATCTATATACACATGTATCTGTCTATCTATCTGTCTATCTATCTGTCTATCTATCTGTTTATCTATCCGTCTATCTATCTGTCTATCTATCTGTCTATCCATCTACAACTTTGTCTGTTCTGTGCCTCCGTTGGCTACTGGTTCTCCTACACTGTGACCTCTCACCTCCTTGACCCCGGATGTGGTGACCTCTGGCGTGTACCCCTGTCCCTGAGGCCCCGTGACCATGACCTCTACGCTGGTGCTGTCACGTGGTCTGCTGTCACGTGGTCCAGCCACGTCCCCGGGCCCCTGTAGGTCCTCTGTCTCCTCGGCCACGTGCTCCGAGCGGTCACGCGAGTCCTGGCTGAAATGATGTCTGGCACAACTGGGAATGTTACTGGCGCCCTCGTCGCTGTTGTTGCTGCTGCTGCTGTTGTTGGGTGGCTGTTGTTGTTGTTGTTGTTGTTGTGGCTGCTGCTTCCTCCGGGTGAGGGAGGACACGTCTCGTCCAGGGTGAAGGCAGCGTTCACGTGACCAGTCACATGACGTGTGTGGGCGGGGGGGACGGCGGGCGGTTCGTTGTTGTGTGAGGGAAGGGGGTGCGGGGGAGGGGGGGTTACATCACGTGCCTTGTGACCGTTGTGTGTGTTGTGGGTGTGTTGTCCTGGTGTCCCACGAGTAGCACACGTGTCGTGGATGTGTTCCACCGTGGTGTGTGTCACGTGGTCACCACGTGGGGCGGAGTCCGGCCGAGGCAGGAAATGATCGTTGACGACAACGCCAGCGTTTGTGGGGCCAGCCGTGACGAGATTTTTGCTGACCGTGAATATCTTCCCACCTCGGGGAGAAAATGGAGGCTGGCTGCTCGCGACTGGCGGCTGTTGTTGCTGTTGTTGTTGCTGTTGGTGTGTGGAGGCAGTTTGTGTGGCGTGGAATGTCGCGTGACTGAAACTACTCTGTCTGCCTTTGCCGAGGCCGCCGCTGTCTTCTGTCTGACCCGAGGGTTTGAACCCGAAGAGATCCAAGATGGCGTTCTTGATGCGGCTGTTGGAGGCGGCGTAGATGAAAGGGTTGATGCTGGAGTTGGCGTGACTCATGACGATAGCGGCGAGAAGAGCCTCGATGGGGAAATTACAGCCCGAGCAGAACAGAGTGACGCAGTTGAAGATGTTGACGGGGAGCCAGAAGATGCCGAACAGGAGGATGACCAGGGCGAAGAGTTTGGCGGCTCGGACGTCCTTGTGGAAGTTGTCCTTGTGATGCCCGTCCTGGCCCGGCTGTCCCCGGAACATGTTCTGTAGCGTGTTGGTCTGCCTCTGGTGGCGCCTCACGATGCGCAGGATGTACATGTACACACACAGCATGAGGAACAGCGGGGCCAGCACCAGTCCGAAGAACTGGAAGTAGACCATGTACTCCATGGTGATCACGTTGGTGAAAAAACACGGCCCGTGCTCGTAGTAGCCGGCGTTCCAGCCGTACATGGGCACCAGGCCTAAGAGAAAGCCTAAGACCCAGATGAGGATGTTTGCGTAGACTGCACGGCGTACCGTGAGCACACGTTGGTAGACGAAGGGTTTTTTGATGGCGAAGAATCTCTCGAAGGCGACTCCGAGCAGCATGAGGATGGAGACGTTGGTGAACATGAGGATGAGAGAGTTCATGAGGACACAGCCGTAGAAGGTCATGTCTACCCCGAGGGAGGAGAGCGCGGCACAGGGAGCCACCAGGAAGCCCACCACGATATCAGCGATGGCCAGGTTTGTGATGAACACGTTGGTCACCGTGTGGAGGCGGGCGGTTTTCAAGATGGCCGCCACCACGATGATGTTGCCCACGATACTGATGAGGCCGACGATCACCTCGGCCGAGATGTACACAATGTCGGTCGTCTTCATCGGATGGGATCGGTTACGATTCGACTAGTGCACACTGTAGACAACGTCAGACGTCGGCAAAGATCCGATGTTTTAAAAGGGTGTTGTTGTTTTTTACACAAATACTCCCCATGTTTAGTTTGCGTAGCTTGATGGACACGTGACCCGGGTGAAGGTTGTCTTCATCGGATCGGATGAATTGCGACTGGAGGAGTGCACACTGGAAACAATGTCAAACGTTGACAAGGATGGGTCAGACCGCACCCCTCAGTGTGCAGAGGCCTGATGCTGTGCGGGTTTCAAGTCTATTTTTATACCTGGAGGTCCTGCAGTTTGTCGGGTTTCTGAATGAAGCGCCTATCTCCGACATAACAGCGCCATGTGGGTGAAGTGACACAGGAGAACTCCTCAACACGGCAGGTGTACGAACAACCCACTGGGAGAGGGGAGGGGGTCGATCAGGGTGTGAACCAGATTACGATACTTTTCATGGGTGGACAACAGCCGTGGGTGGTTGGCGAGTGCTCTGATATAATTTGCTCTTTCTTTCCTATCAAACAAATATCGTCTTTACCCCTCCTCCTTCTAGTATTTGTTTATTTCTCTCTAGCAACACTTCGAATCATCCGCGCTTATATGATCTGTTTGTTTTGCAAGTGGCGTAAAACACTTACCAAAAGTGAAACCAAACCAAGACAACGGCCATGTGGGCGCAGGTCAGTTCATTAGGACCACGAGAAGTGCGAGGAGCGGAATGTCGTCATAGCGTCCCATCACGGGGTCTCCTCACATCACCCTGCTCAAACAAAAACAATCGGAACTTGAAACGAAACCCATGCTTCATGGTAGACTGCTGTGTAAGAGAATCTCTCTGCCTTTATTGGAGCCAATAGATACAGAGCATGTCCTTTGTGCACTCTTGAAGCGCGCGATGTTTGACCAGATACACACAATGTAAGCCCGTGGCTCCCGCTGGAGGGAGCCGCTTCTTACTATGTCTGTCTGTCTGTCTGCCTGTCTGTCTGTCTGACTTTTTCTGTTGCACTATGCTAAAGTTATTGTGTCCACGTGGTTCACTTTACTCGAACAAACGAACAAACAAACAGACGAACACGCTTGCTCTTAGACTCCAGAAGCCAGTACAGTGTTCACTATTCACAGTCCTCATTTCAGAAAGACGGAACGTAATCCTGTTTTTTCTGCGAACCTGTCCGACCCACGACAGCCGCGTGCCCGGGTCAGAACTAGGCGGCTAGGGGGAAGTCCCGCCAAAATACGGCACTGGTATATCCAATCAGAGAGCGCCTACAGAGACGGTAGCTGATACAAACAAGTTTGTGGTTACTGTCATTTGTGGGAAACTCCCGCCTGGAGCAGGCTTCTCGCAGACAGCACAGAGCAATCAAACTGTCAGGTGGTAATGCCTTAAACTTAATGCTTGGTAGATAGGAACAGATCAAGTTCCAGACCTGGGACGATACAGGCGGGGTGTGGAGGGGGGGGGGGGTCTGGAACTTTTGGTGGTCCTTGGTGTACACGCCGGGTGGTTGGTGGGTGTCACTGGCATGCGGCTGGTCTTGGAGTTGTTGTTTTTTTCCTGCAGTTGTTTCTGTCTGTTTGTCTTCCTCTTTCCCTGCACTAACTGACCTTTACTGTGTCGATGGCCGTCTATTTACTCTACACACTCCCACAAAGAACGTGTTTGCTGGTGAGTGGCTGTGTGGTGGGCGGTGTGCGGCCGCACGACTCCTATCTAGATTAACAATGTCTCAGCGCGTCGAACCTTCTAGATCTGGGTAAGGTGGG